TATACTTCTTTATTTACTGTTTTATGTTTTAAGAAAATTAACTGAAATTTAAGAACTTATTTGTAAATGGTAATAATATATATATGCAATGTATTATAATTGAAATGTGACTGTATTTTACAAAATACTGGTCCACTAGAACAAAGCCAAGACGGGTCACTTTGTAAAGACCAGTTTTATACTAATGGATATGGTAACATGAGTGCACGTACACAGTGTCATTGTAACTTCTGTAATGCAAGTCAGACACTGCTGAAAGGTGAATAAGATAAAAATAATCAATATATATAGATATATAATGTCTGCTTCCTAATTTTTTAATGGTGATTACGAGGTCAGTTAAATCGACCAAACTCATACAGAGATAAAACATAATTGTAATTTCCTAAAAAAACGTATGATAAATTACCTGGAGGTTATAAAGATTTCATATGTGAAATTTGACAATTTTCTGATGCATAAAAGTATTTTTAATCTTAAAATCAGATTGTATTAAAAGTTATAGTATAAAAACTATAACAAGCACAAAATGTTTACGAGGTCCATCCCTGGGACAGAGCCTGTCATGATAGTGTTAACAAAACACAGATTAAAGAATCAGAAATTTAATAGATAAAATATTACAAGACTCTGTTTTAGTCCATTTTTATTTAGCTCGTAGGATGCAAGTTGGCCGTGTGGAATAGCTCTGGATTCTGAAGCTGGCGAGCTGGGTTTGGTTTGAATTTTTGCGCAAGGCTACACAAGGGATATCTGACATAAGAGTAAAAGAATAGAGGGAAGAGCAACTAGTCAATACCACCCACCACCAACTCTTGGGCTACTCTTTTACCAATGAATAGAGGGATCGACAGTCACATTATAATACCCCCATGACTTAAAGGGTGAGCATGTTTGGTAGGATAGGGATTTGAACCTGTGACACATAAATTGAGAGTCGAGCAACCTAACTATCTGGCCATGCGAGGCCTAACAGCTGGATTTGAATCTGCGCAATACCACAAGATGTTCCTAACACTTTTAAGCTATGGGTGCATAATAAAAGTGACAGTCAGTTTCTTATCATGGATCATCAACTGGCTACCTTTACTCCAGTTGGTTGTTGAAAATTAGGGATGACAGCAGATATCCTTAGTGGCTTTGCCATAAACACAAAATACGCTAAAACGTAGCTTTTTATATTAAACATATTATCAATAGTGGTTTTTTCTTATAACATTTAGGTAACTTACAGATAATGCTCAAGTACTTGCTGCAGGAACTAACTTAAATTACACAAAAGTAAATATCAATTTCGGTGTCTACAAATAAATGTTCTCTGTCATGTTAAAAACTTTGATGAAATGGGAGGAAGAGATCCTTACAACTCAGCGGTACTATACGTGGAACTCAATTAAATGATGGGAGTTTGTAGCTAACCTGAAATGTGATTGGTGGAAAATGAAAAATGAGAGAGATAAGGAAAGGAGAATACAGATTCTCAATGAAATTTTAAGAAGAGCACAGAGGGAGTTAGGATCAAACATAAGACAGGAATTAAAAGGAAGAATTACGAAGATAGTGAATACATGCAGAGGAAGAGACTGGTGAGATAATTTAGGAAGACAAGAAGTTGACAGGACCCACTATATTATAGCGAGAAGAAATCCCAGGAAGAGATATTGGGAAATACAAAATCAGAAGAATTAAAAGATTTAGAAAGAAATCAAGAAGATTAAGGACAGTAAACTCTTCAGGCAACATGTTAATAAGTTTAGAAAGCTACCTAAGAAGTAAGAGGTTAAAATAAATACACACCAATGGCAAGAAAACTTTGTGCAGCTACTAGAAGGAGAAGAGACAAGTAGCAACAACCGATGACGAGAACTCCAACCCCATTTGGAAATAATGAACTGGATGCGGAATTCTAACAAGAGGAATTGACTAAGTCAAATAAGAAATTGAAGAAAGGGAAGAATATGGAAATCAAAGAATTTTATAAAGCACTTACATAGGAAATGAGAGAGGACCTTTTGCAACTGCTCAATAAGAGCTGGAAGAGTGGGACCTCCCTGATAGTTGGAAAGATGGACCAATTTGCCCTATCGAAGAGACTGGCAAGAAAGGTAACCCAAAGAATTATAGAGAAATCGTGTTATTTAACACTCTGTACAAGATATTGGTTAACACGATGACTACATGGCTAGTGGACTGGCTCGAAAAAGAAAGGCTAATTATGGAAAACCAAGCAGGATTGGGGAAAAATTACACGACAAAAGACAACATTTTTGTGTTGAATACATTAAACAAAAATAAACTAAGAAGAATGGGAGGAAGATTGTATGCGTGATTTATTGACTTTAGAGCAGCTTTTGACAACATTAATAGGAAGAAGTTGTATGAAAAGATATGGAAAATAGAGATTAGAGGAAGAATGTACAAGACAATCAAGAATATTTATAAGGAAACAAGGAACGTCGTCATTCCACCAAGAGGTCGATTGGATAAGTTTTGGACTTCAAAAGGAGTTATGGCCCATTAAGCCCAGTGTTATTTAGTATTTTTATCAATGATTGGATCACAAGAAATATTGGGGGAACTGTTATTGGAAACAAAAAGAATAACTGATGTTAAATTTGCAGACAACATTGTTGCAATGGCCAACCATAGAGATGATATGAGAGAAGTGGTTAAAGCTTGCAAAAAATAAGTGGAAAGTAATGATCTGGTTATTAAACATGGAAAAATTGAAGATAATTGTATTCTGTAAAGGAGGGAAGCTTAATACAGAAGATAAGTGGACATACAAGGGTCAGCCTACTGAGGTGGTCAAGAAGTACAAGTACTTGGAGGTTTGGTTTTCTACAAGAAATATTCACACAGAACACATTAAACAGGAAAGTGGAAAGGATCAAAGGATGATCAATACGGCATGGACTTTAATGAAGAAAAGTGGATACAAAAGTTTGATTCAGAATGTTTTGTTGCTTGGAGTCGAAGCTTGAGGCTGAAATGTTAACAAATAGCTTGAAAGATGCAAAAGAAAACATATGAAGAGGAATTTAAGCTTAGACAGACATACACCTGATTACTTGTGGAGAATGAAAGTGGGAGAGACAAGCATGGATTATGAAGTAGTCAGGTTTGTTGCTGTTAAATCTGTTAATAAAAATGTGCATTGCCTAATACATTTGATTTGATAAATACTGACTGATACCATCAAAGTTTTTTTTTTCCAACATAACTTTATAAAATATGTTATTAAACATTCATATTTCATTGACTGTACAAACCAAAGACTACACAAGTAGCCATACAAGAAACTTGTCCATTTGTCGTGTTTATACTCGAACCTTAAGTCCAATGTATAATAACTGCCATACCTCTCCCCCCTGGGTCATAAAATGGTCCTAGCTTTTTATCCATACACAGATGATTTCGGATTAATGTACCACAAACAGGGGTTGAGTAAATAAACAACACTGGTAGTGAATCTCCAAAATGTGCAAGCACACGAACTATATCCTCCGTTTGAAGTGTCAAAGTGACAGTTTCATCAGCTGTAAAAAAAAAGAAGAAAAAATGAATAAAAATAAAAATGCCAAATAAATTTTACTTATTTACAATTACAATTATTAACAATTTCAAAACTAAAATTGAAGCATTAAGCACAACAACAATACGAAAGAGATCGAGCTCATTTGAGTTTAGTGCTTAAAAAAAAACAGTTTCAGCATTTATGAAAGATACAGTGATGAACTGTCAACATGTTTTTAGTTTACTTTTAAGAAAGGTCTTGTCATTTAAACTATAAAGTAAAAACAAGAGAATTTGAGTAATATCACATTATGTATGAAACTTTACTCCTTAAACCCGAGCAGATGCTGGCAGTATCCAATCAAAACTCCTGATTTACTAGTTGGCCAGTGTCAGTGTCTGATAACATTTACGTCTCTTTAGCTGAAAACTAATTCAAACCATGTTGTTATCCACCTTTTATAAACAGACTGGAAATTTTATAAGGTATGGTGATAATTATTAGGACATCATGAAAATAATTCCAGCGGAATGTACAAAAAATTATAGATTTAAGATTTAAAAAACACAATCAAATAATGGTGTTTTAAGAAGCATATTTAAAATTATTTCAAGATACTTAGGTTTGTGCAACTTTTTTGGAAAACCAAAGTACGACTAGTTTAAAAATAACCTTAGGTAGGCCTATGAATGCTTTTTATGGCAAGTCTTCTCAAGGTTATTTTAAGATGTCCTTAAGCAGTCTTGTGTATGCTTTTTTTTGCAAACCTACCCAAGTTACCTTTAAAAAGGCCTAGGAATGTTTTTTTGGCAAGCCTTCAAGGGGTTTATTTTAAGATTACTTTAGGTTGGCTTATGTTTTTGTCAAGGTTACTATAAGATGTCCTTAAGTAGTCTTGTGAATGCTTCTTGGCAAGCCTTCAAGGGGTTTATTTTAAGATACTTTTGGGTAAACTTGTGTATGCTTTTTTCGAGACACATCCAGGGTTATTTTAAGCTTCATAAACAACTTGGCACTGTGAATTTACTTGATTCTTTAAAAAAAAAAACTTCAGAAGCAGTTACATACAATTAGATAATGTTGGCAACTTGAGAGTCAGACTATCCTTGTTTACAGATACCAGGTCCAGTATTTCAGCATGAACTCTAAATGAACCAACACGAATACTTCGACAACTTAGTGAAAATTCCCCTGCTGATGACTGGTTCGTTTTTGCAACACTTTCCGTTATGACGGGTTGGCCTTGCAAGTTAACAGCCACTGCTGTATGCTGCATAGAAGATGGAGCAACTGGAGCTCCCATCATTAAATTTCCATCCTAGAGCAAGAGATAGAGAGAGTAAAAAGTGAATTGGCTTTTCATCTACAATATATATATATATCACTCTTAGCACTTAGTTTTAATACTGATAGGTTAATATCAACCCTAAAAGGTTGAATACAAAGATAAATTCTGAGGTGTTATTTGTTTAGTAAGAAAACATTTCTGATTGCAGACTAAGACATATAGAAAAAACATTTGTTACTGGTTTTCTTACACTTCATTTCTTACACTACACATGCATTTATATTCACTATTTTTTACGTACTTCTAAATTTAAAATTGTACAAGATTTTTGCATACACAACAGAGAACACCTGTACCCTTTAGTGCACATAACACAAGGTTTTAGTGTCTTACATTCAAAATTTTATTATACTACTTTATGTTTATATTATA